AAAATACATACAACTCGTACCCTACAATGTGAAATAAATTTAGGTCGTTTAGTGTGGGTCAATGACTTAAGTGGAGTGTGGCATAAAGAAACTTAAGAGGGTGTTAAAACTTTACCCCAAAACAAGTCGAAATAAAGAAAGAAATACATATAAATAAAAAAGAGAATAAGGTTAACTAGTGGTTAATTAAATAAGAAACAATTTCTTTCATTTAAACTCATTATTTATTTAATAAAAGAAATTAGTAGAAATTATATTTATTTTTATTACATTTGCCAACATTAAGGGAGCACAAGTTTTTGTTTATTTGTGTCAATTAACTATGTTTTTATTTTTGTTTACATTTCATATGTTGCAACTTGTATAAAATGCTATGTAACAGTAATTGTGGGCCTCTTTCTTCAACCTGTTTTTTGGCTTTTCTTCCAAAGTTTCTGTGTCATTTTTACGTATAAGAGCAGAGTGGCAAATATTTATAAAAAGCGACTACATAAAACATATTGCAACATGTTGCATATTTTGTTAATTACGTCATTGATGCAGTAAAATGTAAACAATAATAAAAACTAGATAAATACTGACACATAAAATAAAGAAAAAGCTTTTAAATGAGTTACTTGGTTATTTTGTTTTACCGCAATTTAAAAGAAAAATATATAACTTTTCTCTCTCTGCCAGAGCAGGGAGTATGAGTCCTATTGTTTTTTTTACAGTTTTGAATGCTGTTAAAAATTATCAATAATTTGTATTTAATCGCGTATGTTTATTTTTATTTATTTATTTTCAATTTAAAACTTTTAACATCCCTGTTTGATACAAAAAGCTTTAAATAAAACTTTCTGTTATCTTGTCAGCATTTCAATGACTATCTATGTGATATTAATAATGTATATACTCTTGTATATTTGCTATTGTTTTTCATTTGAATTTCCTTTTAAAGTTGCAAAAACCTTATTTCTCTTTACATTTCATATGCAGTTTTCAATTTTAATAGTTAAAGAAAAAAATTTAAATAAAAAACATATTCCATTTTAAATTAAACTAGTTTTTAACATGGTATTTAACATTAAATATGGATTTTTAAATTTGAAAACTATTGCTTTGAAATTATATACATTGATGTAGTATAATTTAAATAAATATTGCATATTTTGCCATTGAATGTATTAAACATGAAGTGATCATTTAAGATCACTACGTTAAAAGTTTTGAGCCATAAAGTTTCCTACCTAAAAGCTTTTGCGATCTTAAAAGAGAACTAGAACTGAGCAAGAACCGTGCTTAGTATAACAGAACTAGAACTGAACTAGAACTGAACTAGAACTGAACTAGAACTGAACTAGAACTGAACTAGAACTGAACTAGAACTGAACTAGAACTGAACTAGAACTGAACTAGAACTGAACTATGAACTAGAACTGACTAGAACTGAACTAGAACTGAACTTGAACTGAACTAGAACTGAACTAGAACTGAACTAGAACTGAACTAGAACTGAACTAGAACTGAACTAGAACTGAACTAGAACTGAACTAGAACTGAACTAGAACTGAACTAGAACTGAACTAGAACTGAACTAGAACTGAACTAGAACTGAACTAGAACTGAACTAGAACTGAACTAGAACTGAACTAGAACTGAACTAGAACTGAACTAGAACTGAACTAGAACTGAACTAGAACTGAACTAGAACTGAACTAGAACTGAACTAGAACTGAACTAGAACTGAACTAGAACTGAACTAGAACTGAACTAGAACTGAACTAGAACTGAACTAGAACTGAACTAGAACTGAACTAGAACTGAACTAGAACTGAACTAGAACTGAACTAGAACTGAACTAGAACTGAACTAGAACTGAACTAGAACTGAACTAGAACTGAACTAGAACTGAACTAGAACTGAACTAGAACTGAACTAGAACTGAACTAGAACTGAACTAGAACTGAACTAGAACTGAACTAGAACTGAACTAGAACTGAACTAGAACTGAACTAGAACTGAACTAGAACGAACTAGAACTGAACTAGAACTGAACTAGAACTGAACTAGAACTGAACTAGAAATGAACTAGAACTGAACTAGAACTGAACTAGAACTGAACTAGAACTGAACTAAACTGAACTAGAACTGAACTAGAACTGAACTAGAACTGAACTAGAACTGAAACTAGAACTGAACTAGAACTGAACTAGAACTGAACTAGAACTGAACTAGAACTTGAACTAGAACTGAACTAGAACTGAACTAGAACTGAAACTAGAACGGAACTAGAACTGAACTAAACTGAACTAGAACTGAACTAGAACTGAACTAGAACTGACTAGAACTGAACTAGAACTGAACTAGAACTGAACTAGAACTGAACTAGAACTGAAAACTAGAACTGAACTAGAAACTGAACTAGAACTGAACTAGAACTAGAACTGAACTAGAACTGAACTATGAACTGAACTAGAACACTGAACTAGAACTGAACTAGAACTGAACTAGAACTGGAACTAGAACTGAACTAGAACTGAACTAGAACTGAACATAGAACTGAACTAGAACTGAACTAGAACTGAACTAGAACTGAACTAGAAGCTGAACTAGAACTGAACTAGAACTGAACTAGAACTGAACTAGAACTGAACTAGAACTGAACTAGAACTGAACTAGAAACTGAACTAGAACTGAACTAGAACTGAACTAGAACTGAACTAGAACTGAACTAGAACTGAACTAGAACTGAACTAGAACTGACTAGAACTGAACTAGAACTGAACTAGAACTGAACTAGAAACTGAACTAGAACTGAACTAGAACTGAACTAGAACTGAACTAGAACTGAACTAGAACTGAACTAGAACTGAACTAGAACTGAACTAGAACTGAACTAGAACTGAACTAGAACTGAACTAGAACTGAACTAGAACTGAACTAGAACTGAACTAGAACTGAACTAGAACTGAACTAGAACTGAACTAGAACTGAACTAGAACTGAACTAACTGAACTAGAACTGAACTAGAACTGAACTAGAACTGAACTAGAACTGAACTAGAACTGAACTAGAACTGAACTAGAACTGAACTAGAACTGAACTAGAACTGAACTAGAACTGAACTAGAACTGAACTAGAACTGAACTAGAACTGAACTAGAACTGAACTAGAACTGAACTAGAACTGAACTAGAACTGAACTAGAACTGAACTAGAACTGAACTAGAACTGAACTAGAACTGAACTAGAACTGAACTAGAACTGAACTAGAACTGAACTAGAACTGAACTAGAACTGAACTAGAACTGAACTAGAACTGAACTAGAACTGAACTAGAACTGAACTAGAACTGAACTAGAACTGACTAGAACTGAACTAGAACTGAACTAGAACTGAACTAGAACTGAACTAGAACTGAACTAGAACTGAACTAGAACTGAACTAGAACTGAACTGAAAAACTGAACTAGAACTGAACTAGAACGAACTGAACTAGAACTGAACTAGAACTGAACTAGAACTGAACTAGAACTGAACTAGAACTGAACTAGAACTGAACTAGAACTGAACTAGAACTGAACTAAACTGAACTAGAACTGAACTAGAACTGAACTAGAACTGAACTAGAACTGAACTAGAACTGAACTAGAACTGAACTAGAACTGAACTAGAACTGAACTAGAACTGAACTAGAACTGAACTAGAACTGAACTAGAACTGAACTAGAACTGAACTAGAACTGAACTAGAACTGAACTAGAACTGAACTAGAACTGAACTAGAACTGAACTAGAACTGAACTAGAACTGAACTAGAACTGAACTAGAACTGAACTAGAACTGAACTAGAACTGAACTAGAACTGAACTAGAACTGAACTAGAACTGAACTAGAACTGAACTAGAACTGAACTAGAACTGAACTAGAACTGAACTAGAACTGAACTAGAACTGAACTAGAACTGAACTACTAGAACTGAACTAGAACTGAACTAGAACTGAACTAGAACTGAACTAGAAACAACTAGAACTGAACTAGAACACAACTAGAACTGAACTAGAACTGAACTAGAACTGAACTAGAACTGAACTAGAACTGAACTAGAAACTGAACTAGAACTGAACTAGAACTGAACTAGAACTGAACTAGAACTGAACTAGAACTGAACTAGAACTGAATTAGATCTGAACTAGAACTGAACTAGAACTGAACTAGAACTGAACTAGAACTGAACTAGAACTGAACTAGAACTGAACTAGAACTGAACTAGATTTGAACTAGAATTGAATTATAACTAAACTAGAACTGATCCATTTCTTCAAAAAACTTTATTCATCATCTTTACCAAAAGTTACTTCAACATTTCCCCGTTTTTTTAATTTTAGTCTGAAGTAATTCGATTGCATTGAATTGTAATTGTTTATAATTTTGTAATTTTTTTTTTTTTTTTTTTGCATTTAACTCACATGTTTTTTCATTGCTAATTTATCAGTAAATTTCATGTCTCACATGTTAAACGTGATTTTTTGAAAGTTTTTTTTTGCATTTTGTTAAACTTATTGATGATTTATTTAAATATTTATTGTCATCATGACCGTTAAACCCCGCCAATTACAACATTTTTTATTAATGAAAGTAAACTTTTATTTATATTTTGTTTTATTCTAATGATTTTTTTTTCATGAATTTTACAATGTGTTGTCAATGGTTGATAAACAAATTAATGAGTAAGAGGAAAAATTTAAAGAGAAAACAATTATTGATGACTACTGATTCAGAGACATAAACGGAAATGTTATTAGACAAAAAAAACGTTAACAAAAACACTCAAAAGTTACTTTTATATTTAACATATTTTTAAAGCTTAAAGCTTTTGGTGTACAACTTTAAAAGTTGTTGCTTTATAAGCTTTTTGTTTAATTTTAGAAACTTTTAAAGCTTTTCTTTGTAAAATTGTTTCTTTTCCGAACTTTCCAAGCCAATTTTACTCATTTCTCCTTATTTTCCATTTCCTTACAGATATATTTATCACAATTTGGTTACTTACCCGCCTCCGCCCGCAATTCTGCCAATGGTGGTCTCTTGGATGCCAATACCTGGATCAAAGCCGTGCAGGACTTTCAAAGTTTCGCCGGTTTAAATACCACCGGTGAGCTAGATGCTGAGACCATGGAATTAATGTCACTGCCACGTTGTGGCGTACGCGATAAGGTGGGTTTTGGTAATGATAATCGTTCTAAGCGTTATGCACTCCAGGGCAGCCGTTGGCGTGTAAAGGCTTTGACCTATAAAATCTCCAAATATCCTAAACGTTTGAAGAAAGCTGATGTTGATGCCGAAATTGCTAGAGCTTTTGCTGTCTGGAGCGAATACACCGATCTAAGTTTTACTCCCAAAAGTTCGGGACCAGTACATATTGAAATTAAGTAAGTTTAGGGAGACTAAAAGAGAATTAAATTGTTGTTTATTAATTAAAATTCTTAAAACTTTTTACAGATTTGTTGAAAGTGAACATGGTGATGGTGACGCTTTCGATGGTGTAGGTGGCACCTTGGCTCATGCCTTCTTCCCTGTCTTTGGTGGTGATGCTCATTTTGATGATGCTGAACTTTGGACCATAGGCAGTCCTCGTGGCACTAATCTTTTCCAAGTAGCTGCTCATGAATTTGGTCACTCTTTGGGTTTGTCACATTCCGATGTACGTTCCGCTTTAATGGCTCCCTTCTATCGTGGTTTTGAGCCTGTTTTCAAATTGGACTCTGATGATGTTTTAGCCATTCAGGCTTTATATGGCAAGAAGTCCTCTTCAAATGGTAATGGTATAAATCCCCCCAGCGGTGGTGCCTTCCCACGTACTACACAAAGACCCGCCTTTGCTCCACCACGCACACCCAGAGATGATCAATTATGTAAAGATCCCAAAATTGATGCTCTCTTCAACTCAGCCGATGGCCAGACTTATGCTCTTAAGGGCAATAAATACTATAAGCTTACCGAAAACTCAGTGGCCGACGGATATCCCAAACTTATCTCAGAAGGATGGCCTGGTTTACCAGGTGGGTGTTAGACTTCCTCTTGACTACTTCAAACATTTTATTGATTTCTCTCTTTTATTCAAATTTAGGCGATATTGATGCTGCTTTTACCTATAAAAATGGCAAAACATATTTCTTCAAGGGCACCAAATATTGGCGTTACAATGGCCGTCAAATGGATGGTGATTACCCGAAAGAGATTAGTGAAGGTTTTACCGGAGTGCCCGATCATTTGGATGCTGCCATGGTTTGGGGCGGTAATGGTAAAATTTACTTCTATAAGGGCAGTAAATTCTGGCGTTTCGATCCCTTGAAGAGACCACCAGTTAAGTCCAGCTATCCCAAACCGATTTCGAATTGGGAAGGCTTGCCAAATAGTTTAGATGCTGCCTTACAATATACCAATGGTTATACGTACTTCTTTAAGGGTGATAAATACTATCGGTTTAACGATAGAACATTTGCAGTAAGTATTTCTCTGATATGAATATGTGAAAGCTTTTCGTGTAGTGTTGCTTTTAAAAGCTTTCAAAGAGCTTTTAAACAAGCTTTTACGAAGTAGATATTGTTCAAAAAACTTAAAGAAAGCTTTTTAAAGGAGATATATGAAATATAGTATTTAAAACAGCTTTCAAGAAAAATTAAAAAAAAAGCTTTTAGAAAGGTATTCTATATAAAATATATTACTGCTTTAAAAAAGCTTTTATGAAAAGACTTTAAAAATGCTCTAAAAAACAATTTTAAAAATCTTTTAAGAAAAAACTTTAAAACGCTTTTAAAAAAGTCTATTCTCCAAAAACTTTAGTTTTAGAAAAGCTTATTTTAAATGAATTTAAAGCTTTAAAAAAAGCTTCTATAAAGCTTTTTTTTAAAGCTATTAAAAATACTTTATTTTTTTAAAAAGTTACTAGGAACAACAATAGTTGTGAAATTGGTTTCAAAAATCCTTTTTTAAAAGCTTTAAGAAAAAGCTCTTTTACATTTTACTAAGAAAAATTTACTTTTAGAAAGCTTTTAAGAAAAAACTGGCTTTCTCAGTTATGTAAGAAAAATTGTTTTTAAAAAAAGCTTTTAGAAAAAGTTTAAAAACATTTGTAGAAAAAGCTTTTTACTTTAATTTTAAAAATCGTTTAAAAGTCCAAATATTTAATTTTTAAAACTTGTTTTTCAAAAAAAAATTTAAGGCTTTTAAGGAAAATCTGTTTTAGAAAGCTTTCAAGAAAAAACTAAGAAAGCCATTAAGAAAAACTTGTTTAAAAAGACTTTTGATAAAGAAAGGTTTTCAAAAAAAGCTTTTAGAAAAAGTTTAAAAACATTAAAAAAAAATTTTTAAAGGAAATTCCTTTGACCAAAAAGTTTTACTTGGACTTTTGCTAAAGAAAGATTTTCAGAAAAGCTTTTAAAAAATGTTTAAAAACATTTTTAAAAAAAGCTTTTTATTGAAATATTGAAAAATCGTGTTTAAAATGTCAAACATTTAATAAAAAAGGAAATTCCTTTGTCCATAAAGTTGTATTTAAAAAAACTTTTTTCATGAAAGCTTTTTAAAAATATTGAACAAAAAAACTCTTTTTAATTATACTCAATATTTACATTAGTTCTTAGAAAATTGCAACTATTTGATGAAATTTATAATTTTCCAACAGGTTGATGCTGCTGATCCTCCATTCCCCCGCCCCTCAGCCCACTGGTGGTTCGGTTGCAAGAATACACCCTCAACAACAGGTAATATTGTGGACAATTCACAGGAAACTGAATTGCATGAATCATCTTTCAATGATTATGAAAATGATGATACAGTATTTGATGCAGGTGAGTGGAACCGACCCAGGACTAAAATATAAATTTAAACAAAAGAATTAAACATAGAAAATTAGAAACATTTTATGAAAAATAGTTAAACAAAATTTTAATTAAAAATTTTATTAAATTGATCTCTTTAAAAGAAATAATTTTTTATTAGAAATTTGAAATTTAAAATATAATTCTCTTATAGAATAATTTTATTTAAATAGTAAATTTTTCCCTCAAAAAAAATACTTAAAATATTAAACAAAGAAATTAATGAAAAGTGGTATGTTATATTAAGTTTTATATAAGTTATAAAATTATATATATTTAAAAAAAATACTGTTTTATTATACATAATTATATTTACTACTAACTTTTATATTTATATAAATAATTTAATTTTTAAAGTGTTTATGAAAGAAAATACATAATTTTATTATTATTTTATATTTTATAAAGAATGTCTAATGTCTTTCTCTGTTTCAATCTTAAACTCATTGCTCATTCTGCTTTTTCATTCATATCCATTTTGTTGGTTGTAGTAGGATCTTGTAAATATCTTTTAAAAATTTCATTTTTTTAGCAAATACTTTTAGGATAAAATGAGCTGCCATATTTTTATTATATTCCCACCACTTTGGTTTTCAAAAGCATGAGTTTTTCCTTTGCATTTCCAAAAGTCAATTAAAGGTATTTGAAATTACTTTTTTAAGGCAATTTAACACTTTTTCTACACACAAGCAAAAAAATTACCAAGAACACTTAAGCACTAATTTCAAAAAGACTCCAAAGCAAAACAAACACAAATAAATAACATAATAACACTACAAACACACTTGTTCTCTTTCATACTCCTACACAATGAGCAAAAGACAAACCTGCAAAACAAAAACAACAATAATAAATAATGTAAACAAACTTCCAATATAAACTAAATCAACATTATTGCCTCTTTTTAGGCGCAATTCAAGTTTTCTTTTAGAAATACTTTGATTTATTTAAAAAAAAAATATAATAATTATTAAATTGGCTTCAAAGTTTTGAATATTTTTGACACTTTGCTTTCCCAATATATCAAAACAAAGTTCGTAACTTTTTCTACCAAGTGGTCCTGTGATATAATAAAAATCAATAATAAGTTTCATAAAAAAAACATTTATACTTCTTTAGAATTTTAGGAATTTTTCTAAATCTGATTTGCAAAAAAACTTCTATTTGTGTTTTACTAACCAACTTCATCAATTTCTGCTCGATTAAAATCATCGTTCATCTTTATTTTCTCGAAAATTTCACAGTTCAAGGTTTTGGTTTGAATTTTCTGTATAACTTTTATTTACAATATTTTTTTCAAAATAGGTAAGTATAAGATTTATTTAATAATAAATTATTAATAACATTAACCTAAAAAACTTACTAAACTTAAGTTAAATTAACAAAAAAAAATTTTTGTCCCACATAAAAATAATCCAAAGAACTAATGAAACATATATTTTTAATCATTTTAATGTAAAGAAGAAAATTTTCTAAAAATAGAAAATTTATTGAAAATACTCTAATACTCTACTGAACATTTTGTTCTTAACAATATAAAATTTTATTTAGCGCCAATACTTTTACAGATGGTTCTCTTGGATGGCTATAGACCAGACTATACTATAGACTCGACTATACTATAGACTCGACTATAGACTCAACTATAGCCTAGACTATAAACTAGACTAGACTATAGACTAGACCATAGACTAGACTATAGACTAGACTATAGACTAGACTATAGACTAGACTATAGACTAGACTATTGACTAGACTATTGACTAGACTATAGACTAGACTATAGACTAGACTATAGACTAGACTATAGACTAGACTATAGACTAGACTATAGACTAGACTATAGACTAGACTATAGACTAGACTATAGACTAGACTATAGACTAGACTATAGACTAGACTATAGACTAGACTATAGACTAGACTATAGATTAGACTATAGACTAGACTATAGACTAGACTATAGACTCGACTATAGACTCGACCATAGACTCGACTATAGACTCGATTATAGACTCGACTATAGACTAGACTAGACTATAGACTAGACTATAGACTAGACTATAGACTAGACTATAGACTAGACTATAGACTAGACTATAGACTAGACTATAGACTAGACTATAGACTAGACTATAGACTCGACTATAGACTCGACTATAGACCTCGACTATAGACTCGACTATAGACTAGACTATAGACTCGACTATAGACTAGACTATAGACTAGACTATAGACTCAACTATAGACTCGACTATAGACTAGACTATAGACTAGACTATAGACTAGACTATAGACTAGACTATAGACTAGACTATAGACTAGACTATAGACTAGACTATAGACTAGACTATAGACTAGACTATAGACTAGACTATAGACTAGACTATAGACTAGACTATAGACTAGACTATAGACTAGACTATAGACTAGACTATAGACTAGACTATAGACTAGACTATAGACTAGACTATAGACTAGACTATAGACTAGACTATAGACTAGACTATAGACTAGACTATAGACTAGACTATAGACTAGACTATAGACTAGACTATGACTAGACTATAGACTAGACTATAGACTAGACTATAGACTAGACTATAGACTAGACTATAGACTAGACTATAGACTAGACTATAGACTAGACTATAGACTAGACTATAGACTAGACTATAGACTAGACTATAGACTAGACTATAGACTAGACTATAGACTAGACTATAGACTAGACTATAGACTAGACTATAGACTAGACTATAGACTAGACTATAGACTAGACTATAGACTAGACTATAGACTAGACTATAGACTAGACTATAGACTAGACTATAGACTAGACTATAGACTAGACTATAGACTAGACTATAGACTAGACTATAGACTAGACTATAGACTAGACTATAGACTAGACTATAGACTAGACTATAGACTAGACTATAGACTAGACTATAGACTAGACTATAGACTAGACTATAGACTAGACTATAGACTAGACTATAGACTAGACTATAGACTAGACTATAGACTAGACTATAGACTAGACTATAGACTAGACTATAGACTAGACTATAGACTAGACTATAGACTAGACTATAGACTAGACTATAGACTAGACTATAGACTAGACTATAGACTAGACTATAGACTAGACTATAGACTAGACTATAGACTAGACTATAGACTAGACTATAGACTAGACTATAGACTAGACTATAGACTAGACTATAGACTAGACTAGACTATAGACTAGACTAGACTATAGACTAGACAATAGACTAGACTATAGACTAGACTGTAGACTAGACTGTAGACAAGACTATAGACTAGACTATAGACTAGACTATAAATTAAAAAAAAATAACTAAAATTTTCTATAAATTAAAAAATTGTCGAAAAATTCATCAAATTTTTTTGTAAACAAAAGATTTATTGAAAATTTTCGACTGACTAAAAATAATCGGAAATTTTCCATAAATTGAAAAAAATTATGAAAAAATTTTCTATAAATTAATAAATTAACAAAAATTGTCTATTAATTAAAAATAACCAAAATATTTGTATAAAATGTGTAACTCATAAACATAATGTCTGTTTTGTTTTAAAATTAAGTTATTAACTAAAAGAACTGGAAAAAAAAATAATTAAAACTTAATAACAATAATTAAAAATCTAATTTTAAACAACTATAAATACATAATCTAGCATACCATTAAAAGAAAGCAATATTTTTTTTTAAACTTAAAACACTTTTAATAAGAAAAATAATTTCTCTAAAAAAACACCAAAACAAAATAACTAATTTAAAACTTTATAATATTTACAGTTTAATTTAAGAAAATCTACACAATATAAACAAACAAACAAAAAACCAAAAATATTATAAACCTTCAACAAAACTAAAGATATTTTTGGTCAACTCTGGTCGGTTTCACTAATCTGAAATTAAAAATTTTTTTATAACTTTTAACTTATCTAATAAAAATATTTATAAACTAACCTTAAAAAAAAACTAATAAAAGTAACTAACTTTAAAACTAAGTAAATTAACTAAAACTTTTTAAACTAATATTTGCAAGGTAGAATAACTAACCTTAAGACCTAGATCGGTAGTAGTTTGTATATAACATTATCTCTCTTTTAAAACGAAACAAACATTTTCTTTCAGTAGCACTTCTTTCAATTATTTAGTTATATATTTTCTTTTTTATTTATTTATATACATTATTTAACTTTTGTTTATTATATTTACAACAAAAAAACTATGTATGTATTTTCTTCCCCACCCTTTTATTTAGTTTATTTGAATTTTATTTAATATTTTTTTTACACTAAACCTAAACGTAGTTTTGTTTTCATTATTTCCTTTAGAAAAAAACTATTTTAAATATTTGTTAAATTATACTCCTCTTTTTTTAAACGTATGTATTTATTAAATGTTGTTGTTATTATTGTTGTAGTTCACCCTTTTTCTCCTCCCCCCTCTTTATAAATGTTACTAAATTTGGCGTTTTTTTATCACCATTTATCTGTTATCGAAATTTACACATCACTATAGTATGTGTGTTTATGTATTTTGTTTTTGGCATAAGCAAAATATTAAGCATGTTTTCAAAACAAACAGACAAATTGGTTAAACTTTTTAAACACACAAATCAAAATTTGCATGATTTATTATTTTTTCTATAAATTTTGGTTATATGCACGTTTTTAAAAAAAATCATTTATACATATGTATTTTTTGTTATAAAAATTTTAATTATTAAGAAAGGTTCTTGTTAAAGTTTATAACTGAAATATAAACAAAACATTTTTTCTGTTACTAACAATTTGAAAATGTTTACAACAGGTTGAAGAGTTAAAGAAATAAGTCAATGTTCTCAATGAATGAAGAAAATTTAACGAAATTTTTTTTAAATTTCAGAAAACATAAAATTTATCGAAAACTATCTCTAAGAATTTGAAAAAATGGGACTCGAACTCGAGCCTAAAGAAATATTCAATTAATATTATCGATAAGTACAATTGGAAAAACGAAAAAGTACCAAAAAGTCCCTTCATTATAAATTCTCATACACTCAGGACTGTGTATGACCATATTATAGATAGTTTTAAAAGTATCTTTTAAAGAATAAAAAAGTACCAAAGAATAGCATTTTATAGATTTGGATCATTAACTTTCATATCTTTGCATTTAATGTTTTAGGAAAAAGTACCATTTGAAGAATGAAAAAGTACCAAAAAGTTCCCTCTTATAGATTCCTATTCATTTAGGCAAGTAAAATTTTAAGTATCAAAATACCATATAATAAAAATTTTAAAAAGTACCATTTGAAAACCGAAATAGTACGAAAGAATATAAGAAAGTAGCAAAAAGATCTCACTTGTACATTCCGATTCCATCGGCAATGTTTTGATTACATATTATAGAAAGTTCTAAAAGCACCAAAAACTACCCTTTTATAGGTTTCGATTCTATCTGGATCAATGAAGTTTTTGTTTCTACATTCAATAGGTTTAGAAATTTCAAAAAGTACCAAAAAGTTGCTCCTTATAGAATGTCATTCAATCAGTGTTTTGGTTGCACATTATAGAGAAATTCTAAAAGTACCATTTGTGGATCAAAAAAAGTACCAAAGAATAAATTCTAAATCAATATGGCAACAAATTAAAAAGGTACCAAACAGTTTCCTTTACTAGATTCTCTTTCTGCATATCAAATTTTATGTTTCTAAATTCAATATGATATAAAATTTCAAAAAGTACCAAAAGAACGAAAAAGTACCAAAAAAGTTCCCTCTTATTTAATCAGTTCTGTGTATGTTTAATTTCAAGAACGTTTCATAGGGTCTCAGTGTAAATTAACTGAAAACTAAACTGGTTCTTCTCTCTAAGAGATGTAAGATTGAAAACTTAATGCCACCAAAGTACAGTTAAACTGAAAACTACGGATTACACTTGTTATAAACCTAGAAAGTAAACTATCCTGGAATCTAAACATTAAGAAAGGGATAAACAACGACAAACGTTTTCTCAACTGGATTCCGGAAGGGAACGAAGCCTTACCAGTATTCTCGTAAAATAGATAATACTGACGACTTCAAGAGAAGTAGAATGGTGGTGGTTATTTCTTCATTGAAGGTGGTGCTGACTTCTTCATTGAAAGATTCGATCCGATGATACCAGTCTTCTGGTAAAAATGTTAATACTGACGACTTCAAGAGAAGTAGAATGGTGGGTGGTGACTTCTTCATTGAAGGATTCGATTCGATAGGAATATATCGAGGGATATACATATGTAGATATACTGATATCCAAGCTGCTATATATAGTGGCTGTCTCCAAACGAGATAGTAAGATACAATCTAGAATAACGCTAATATTGCTCACTGGTCACAGTTAGTGTAAAGGCCTATGAATTAGACAAGATTAACGCGATGAGAGGGTATGCGGAAATCGATAACTTTACTGGAACTTCACTTACAAATTATGAGATACTCATTCAAACTGTATAAACAAGCCCAACTCAACCGATTTAATGAAATCATCTTTCAGACCTCAAGGTCTTCTTTTCCCCTATAAGATGCGCTTAGGTCAAGCTTATTTATAAGCTTTCGTAGACAATAGATAAGACTGCTTTATCAGTAAACACTGTGTCATAGCTACCACTGCCAGAAGACTTGATATTGAATATAATAACTTCTTCAGAAGTTGCCTTAATTAAGATTATATATTATATATACCCCACTACTATCCGACATTTACCTAGAATAGAGACCCTTACTTAGGTAATTCCTATCTAAGAAAGATCTCGAATACAAAGACTAAAACAGAAGTTATTATAATGAAGAGGACTTTCTCATCTTCTGTCGCTGTCCGATATTTAACGATAAAAGAGAGCCTCACATTCCCTCAGGTGTTCTTTCAGTTATCGAGAAACAATCTGGGATAAATACTAAACAAGATAAGACTCTGATTAGTCTTGATACCTCTGCCAGAAGACTAGATCTTGAATACTATGGGTCTTATTCATAAACTTTTATCAAAGGTTTATAAATCAAATTTTCATATAAAATTTGTTCTATAAACCTTTGATAAATGTTTATGAATAAGGCTGTATAACTATTGTTGACTTAATAAAGAAGAGGAGACAGTATCCCATATACTATGCTACTATCTGACATTTACCGAAAACAAAGAGCGTTACTTAAATACTCTCTTTCTCTTTGTTATGAAGGAGCTATCTGGGAAAGGTCTCGCAACAGAAGTTGTTATAATGAAGAGTAAGAGGGGAGGGAAGTGTCTCTGTTACTGTGCGGTATTTAGCGATAAAAGAAAACGTCCCTTTCGTTCATATATTCTTTCAGTTATCGGGAAACTGGTTAGTTTATTCTGAATGCATTTAGTAATATGTACCTAGAATAGACTTCTGTAACCAGTAGGGTATCTGGAAGGTATTTTGTATTCCATAAATATATTTAAACATATTCTTCCCTCTCAAGATTGTAATTAAAACGGAATTTTCATAATAATTTCAAAAATTTAAATAACATTTGTTTTTAAAACATTTTCACAAAACGCAACATAACATATTTTAAAACAAAATCTAACAAATTAGCACATTTGTTGTAATTTTGTTTTAATGTTAAGCTAACAGAAAAACAGTTATGTTTGTTTATAATAATTTCATAATTTACTTAACAATAGAACCTTTTTTATTTATTTAAAAATTAAAAACTGCATGTTTGTGTGTTATTAGTAAAGTAGAAGAAAAAACGTAATTAATATTAAAGTAAAAAACAAGCTTTAAGAACAAATTAGTAATAAATATTTATATATTTTTTTTATTTTATAAACTGCATATTTACAGGCGTACGAAAACGTGGATAAATTACAAAAAAAAACAAAAACTTCATACACAAACTGTAAAGAAAACATAAATAATACATTAAACATATCCCCACACATATACGCAACCCCCCAAACACACACACACACAGTCACAAAACAATATACATACAAATGCATAAAACTATTAAACTAAAAGCTTCGCAATACTACAACGTTATAAAAAGAAAAAGGAAACGGAAATAATTGTTAGAAATGTAAAGTAGTGTGTAATAGTAGAAAATTTTCTTTTGCTTACACTTTCTAGCTTCTTCTCTCTCTTTGTCTCTTTCATTCTCTGTATGCAATACAAAGCTTAGATGTCTTAGATCTTTGTAAAATGTTAATGTTATCCCCCCCCCCTTTCCCAATCTTTCACTTTTTCCTTCTCTTTTGTAATTGAGTGTTAAAAGTATGGCTTAGAGAGTAGTAAAAACAAAAACGAAAATGTTAACAAATTGCTGCAAGCACGTTATTATTTGAATGTTAGTTTGTTTTGTTAATTCTTGCTAATTGCAACAAATTTCAAAGTGATTTTTTTAAATAATTTTTTAATTTTTTAAAACTATTTTATTTTCTTTTTTTTTATTTATTTGAAACAAACAAAAACGACTTTAAACGAAAACTAAAAACAAATTCAAAACACTCAAAAACGATTCTGAAACACTTTAAAAATTTTAAAAACTAAAAATCTGACTCAAAAAACTTTAAAAACCAACACACCCATCCACCCACCAACCAACCAAGCAGATATTGAAAAAAGAGATGTAAATAATAATGGCAGAGGATTTGTAACGCCTGGCTGGATGTGGAATATAGCACGTTCATGGTTTTAAAGTTTAACAAACAACAACAACAACTAAACACACAACAAAAGAAACGTGATATTTTTGTAAACAACAAAAAAAAAGTTAATAATAATATAAAAAAACTAACTAAATGAGACTTGGTAAACTAAACCAAACTTAAAAACATAACACTTGCTGTTCATTTAATAAAACAAAAATAAATTCATCATCATTTTATTAATTAAAAACCCCCAAAACATAGCAACAACTGAGCTATAGTGTGGCAACATTGTTTTGTGTCCCGTGTGTATATATGTAAACAAACGCCCATAAACAACATTGTACAGAGCTGCTGTCAGCGTTTTTTTTGTTTTTATAAAAACCTTTCTAATTCTCAAAACCAAACAAAGCTGCTGCCTACATAATAAAGCCATAAAAATTTTTGTTGCCAAAAATTTATATAAAAAAACTACAACAGCAACGCTTTAAAAAAAAATTCCCCCAAAAAGTACGTTTTATTTTTTATTAAATTTTGTTTTAGTTATTTTTATTATATAAAACAAAAACTACAAAAAAACGTTTGGTTTAGTGTAAAAAATAAACACTTTTATTTATTTTAATTATATTTATTTATAATATTTTATAATAATTTATTTATTTATCTCCATGGGATTGTTTATCATTTAAAAATTTTGTAAATTTTTTCTCATTTATCATTTTAAATTTTTACTAATTTTTTAAGTTTATAATTGCATGATTTTTTCTACAAAGAAATTCCCATATTTATGTTTTAAAACTTTTGTTAATTAAAAAAACTAATAATTTTTAGTTTTAATATGGGTTTTTAATAAATTTATTTCTCATAAATTTATTCTCATACAAAAGTTAACTAAGGCGTATGAGTATTGTTAGTTTTAATTACAAGTAATCATACGCCTCCGTTTTGTAACAGCTATTATTAAAGCAGACATGGAAATTTTAGTGCTATTGCACTTTATTATACATTTTAACTAACAATACTAGGAAAAATTTGCAAAATTAATTATATTTTCCTTGATACATTTTCTAAAACTACTGAATTAAACTAAAGATCATGAGATTTTTGAAAATTCGTTATGTTCGAATAAATCTTAAAACGAAACGGAAGAAATTTGTCCTATATGTAGACTTCTGATGACATTACATTATTATGTTCGCAAAATTTTAAATTTATTTAATTAATCTCTAGATAATAAGGTTTATTTTAAAGATTTTTAAAAATTCGAACTTATGTTCGAAAAAATTTTAGTCAAAATCGTTTAAAAATTGTCAAATATGTAAACATCTGACAAGGATGTAATGTAAAGTTCGGAAATTTGAAATTAAGTCTTATTTTTTTAATAAGATCATGACATTTCTGGAATATTTTCGAAAATTCGAACTTATGTTCGAAACAAACTTATTCAAAACAGGCAAAAATTTATCAAATATCTGACAACGATGCAATGTAATGTTCTAAAAATGCAAAATTATGTTCGAGTTTTTTTAATATTTACCAGATCATGACGTTTCTTTAAAATTTTCGAACTTTTGTTCGAAACAAATTTAGTCAAAATAGGCTAAAATTTGTCAAATATATAGACATGTGATAACGATGCAAAAATTGGAAATTATGTTAGATTTTTTTTTAATAATTACCAGATCATGACGTTCCTTAAAGATTTTCGAAAATTCGAACTTATGTTTGAAACAAATTTAGTCAAAATCGGTTAAAATTTGTCAAATATATAAACAAGTGATAACGTTGCAATGTAATGTTCGGTAATTAGAAATAAAGTTCGATTTTGTTAATAAGTATCAGATCATAAAGTTTCTTCAAAATTTTCGAAAATTCGTATTTATGTTCGAAAAAATTTTAAGACGAATCTGCAAAAATTTGTTAAATAATTTGACAACGATGCAATGTAATGTGCGAAAATTTGAAATCGTGTTCGAGTTTTTTTTAATAATTACCAGATCATGACGTTTTTTCAACATTTTCGAAAATGACGAGGAAATTCGAAAGCATTTTTAATGTTTATGTGATTTTAAAGATCTTCGAAAAATCGAACTGGTGTTCGAAAAAATTTTAGTAAGATTATACTGAAATTTTATAAATATTTTGACAACTGATGTCAATGTTATGTTCGAAAATTCGAAATTTTAAATTCGAACTTATGTTCGAAAAAAAATTAAACCGAAAAGGCTGAAGTTTAGTAAATATCTATATTCCTGATGAGTATGCAATGTTATTTTTGAAATTTGAAAATTAAATTCGAAATTAATCTTCAAGTCATCAGGTTCTTTAAAGATATTCGAAAATTCTAACATATTTTTTACAAAATATGTACACAATCGATGACAATGCAATGTTCGAAAATTCTAAATTATGTATATTTTTAAAGATATTTTAGAAGTTTGAACTTATGTTCGAAAAAATATTAGACCGAAAATTTTGAAATTTAGTAATTATCTGGACATCTGAATGTAATGGACAAAAATTCGAAGTTATATTCAATTTCTTCATAAGATTTCTTAATGATTAGAACTTATTTGAAATCAAATTCGAAAATTCGAACTTATGTTCAAAGGAAAATATGTTTTAAAAATTTTAAATTATATTCCAAAATTCGAACTTATTTTCGGAGAAAAGTTAAAGCTGTTAAATTATGTTCGTAAATTCGAACATCTTTTAAAGCTCCATTATCATCTCCAGATCATAAGGTTCTTTAACCAACTTCGAAAACTCTGAATCTGGATTCGATATTAAAAACTTATACTAACTCTTAGTGCTGAATTAACAGGTTCAATTCTCCATACATAACAACATGATATACCGTACAAATCTAAATTTTCCCGACATTTTAATGGTGTTGAGACAATGATTTACTTTAGTCCAAGAAATCATTTTCAGTAGACTTTGATACTGGTCTATTATTTCATCAAATTTGTCATGAATGTCTTAGTTTCAAATGAAATACGTTTTAAAATAACCCTCCTAATGTCGATTCTATTATCAAAATTTTCACAAAATGGTGGATCTTTAAACACTACGGATATTGAGTTTTAAATTGGTTTATAGCTAAAATATCGATGAAAGAAAACAGTTTCCAATGAAATACATTTTAAAATAACCCTCCTAATGTCGTATCTATTATCAAAAATGGCGGATCTGTTAATCAATATAGATTTTGAGTTTTAAGATTGCAATCATTTCATTTTACTATTAGATGTTAATAATCCACTAATTAATATCACAAGTGTAGACAGATTATATATCAATGGATAGGAAATTCTATATATCGTAAGATTTTTGGCTTCGAAACACCAGAGAAAGAAGAATCAAAAACTTTAAATGTTTATTTTACAAGGATGTCGTAAAACTTTTCTAAAGGATTGAGATTTGCTAAATCCGAACCTCATAATGGCCTGTTTTTGAGATATCGTTTCCTAAAAACTGAAAAATCGCCATTTTTGGCTATATTTGAGTCGTTATAACAGCTTGAAGATATCTTTGTAGATAAAATCTGTTATGTCATCTGAAAGTTCAATTTGTAGAGTTGAAAAAAAAGAACAAAATTTCTACCTCAATTTCGAGAAAGTAATATCAAATCTTTGGATATCTCAAAGTTAAGATATCTCGAAAAATTATGAAGATATGACAGAGCTTAAACCTTTATTTTAAAGTAGATAGATTCGACTTTCAGACGATATAACTGATTTTGATGAAGGTGTCCTCCCGCTTTTATAAGGTCACAAATATGGGCACAATAGCTATAGTTTTCAATCCAGGTTGCTGAAATTTAGAATACTTTATAACCTTCCCAGCAAGGTTTATAAGACCCAAATTCAAAACTTAAACACGAAACACAAACTCTCTAGGCATTCTAAATTTCTTAAATTTTACCTATTTTATTCGAAATTTCCCCACTGTATGTGGTTTACGTTGTCCGGTAATGGACAATTCATGAATTTTGAGATCTTTAGAGCCGGAATTATTCTCTTTTAAGGGGTTAAATTAGAATATTGTTACAAATTTAAGTTTTTTTTAATTTATGATAAACAATCCTTTAGATATAATTTTTCTAAAAAAAATAAACAACAAATTGCAATTTTTTAAAATTATTTTGTTTTAAAAAACACTTTAAATAATAATTTTAAATAAAAACTTATTTGTAAATTAACAATAAAATTAACCAAATTATTAATGTATGCAACTTTTTCAAACTTTTGTATTTACCTTCATAGGTTTTGATGATCATCAGCCCAATGACGAAGCCACCGCTGATCGTTCCAGCATGTCGAGTGCCACCACCAACAATAGCAGCAATAACCTTAAAAATCTTATAATGGCCAGCATTTTAATGATGTTTGTAGCAAAATTTATTGTTAGCTAAAAGCAAATTTTCCCCACTACTTTTTGGACAATAAATTAGGAACCTTTTCACATACACACACACATTTAAATGTAGATAAAATATTATACATAATTAGAAAAGGAAATAATTAAAATAAAATTCAAAATTTTATTTTAAATTATAACGAATAAAAGAAAAAGAAAACACCTAAAGGAAAACGTTAAAACGTATGAAAACTATATATATAAGCCGCTTAATAACAAAAAATTAAATAATTTTTTATTTTAATTATTAAATAATAATGAATGAATATAAATCTACAGTTAGTCATTAGTTTATATAAAGTGCCTTTTTTCTTAAAAAAAAATAAAAACACAAAATGTTAATTTAAAAATTTTATAAACAAATGGTCATATATTTAAAACTTAAACATTTAACGCTTTTTAAAAAGAAACCTTTATAAACTGTTATTAAATTTCTATAATTATAAATGTGATATTGTTTTTTTCTAAATTTATTAAATTTTTTCAAAGTTTTTATTAAATGGCCACTTGTTTGAAATGAAAAGAAACCCTAAATAATTTAAATTATTATTTTTTTATTTTTATTATTTTGTATATAAAAAATCAAATTTTTTTACTTATTTCAATTAAAAATTCATTTAAATATTCCCTCTTTTTGAAAACCTCTATACAAAATCATATCTTAACACAACTCTACAAAATCACTAACAAATTAGTATAAACATTCCTTAACATATATATGTATTTATATAAAAAAAACTTTTCTTTTTTTTCCAAAAAAAAAAAAATTATAAAGAAAAACCCTTTAAAAACTTAGCTTTAGACTTAAACGTAATTTAGTGTGTAAAAATTTTATTTAATTATAAGTAAAAAAAAACTGAAAAAATCATTTAAAAAAAAAAAAAAACTTTGTTGTTTCTCATTTCACACCCGTTTACGTTTAAGTTTTTCTTAAAAAAAAAACAAAAATTATCTAAATAAATACATTTTTCTTGTTTAATTACTCAAGAATATTTTTCAAAGAATTGTTGTTTAACATTAAACAAAAAAAAAAACAAAAAAAAAATCAACCACAAAGATCTTTGTAAAATAGCTTGTAATTATTAGTTATTACAATTTATTATTTTATAATTTAATTCTTTTTTAATGCAAATCATATGTCAAAGTCAACAAATTTATATATATATTTTTTTTTTTAAATAAAAAACGATATTCTTGTCGGAATTAATATTTAACTCCGAATATTATTATTGTAATCAAATAATTTTTTTATAGTTATTTTAATATAATTAATAAAAACTGTGTATTATACATTAAAAAATAAAGAAAACTATATAAAAAAATGAACAAATAAAAAACAATTATTAAAAACCTATAAAAAATTAGTATTATTTATTTCTAACATTTAATTTCGCCATAAAATATAGAGAGGTAACGTAGATCGGAGTAGTAATAAGCACTATTTTATATCTAAATCATTCACAATTAATTATGGGAACTGCCACAGAATTCCATTTCCCTTCTCATTTCGAAAAAGTTAAGGTTTTCCTATTTTAAGAAGAAAACTGTAAAAACTAAAGTCTACTTTCGTTGGGATTTGAAAGCTGTGACAGACCCCTATATTGACCATATACATAATTAGTTATAAACCCTAACAATTTATGTAAATTTTGATACCGATTTTATACTATGGTCCTGGGTAACTAGTTGTTGTAGTAGCAACACTTATATTCTCTACTTGTTCCCTACTCTTCTTCTTTGCCTCATTATACAAATCTGCTAGATCTAAAACCATTAGCCGAGCCGCATCTGTCGTCTAGATCTAAAAGGATTCGGGTTCCAGCTAAGTTGGATTTGCCCTGCAGTTGAAATGATGTTGAACCTTGTCCGAGCCTATGTCACGCGCATGACAGAGCTCTTGAATGATGTAATTTAGTCTCTACCAATACAAATTTAAACGGGAACACCATACCGATTTTAGTTGTGCCAATATCACGCTCATGAGACAGGCGTGTTAGGTTTCGTACTTCTTTTGCAACGGGTGGGATGACGACCTCCTAGTATGATACTAGCACGTTCGGAATTGATGTAGTCTTCTACCGCTTTGTAGTGGATAGTATTTATAGCTGTCTTTTAATGAGCTTACGTTCAATACTAACTCCAATGACTTCCCAGTAGGAAATGTTGTGTTCCTTAACCGAAAGCATCTTCGTCTGGTCATAAAGATGTTCCTCTAACGTTATTTGAATACAGCCCATTACTGTTCTAAGTTTTGACAGCTTTAGAGCTTTGTCCACTGCGAGTCGCTAACTCGCGGAATCACCACTGACCGGCCAATCGTTCGGTAGATAGTTTACAAGGTATCTAGTTATGCCAATATCACTCTCATGAGACGTATTAAGTTTCGTACTTCTTTTGCAACTTTACTAGAGCTAGATTGATGGAGTCATCTATAGCTTGATGGAGTCTTCCATAGCTTTGTAGTGGATAGTATTTATGACTGTCTTGTAGGAGCTTACGTTTTATACTAACTCCAATGACTTCCCGGTACGAAATGTTTTGATCCTTAAGCGAAAGCATCTTCGTCTGGTCGTAAAGATGTTACTCTGACGTTATTTGAATACAACCCATTAGTGTTCTAAGTTTTGACAGCTTTAGAGCTTCTTCCACTGCGAGTAGCTAACTCCCGGAATACACACTGGCGCTCAACAGTTCACCACTGACCGGCCAATAGTTCCGTAGATAGTTAACAAGGTTTTTTTATCCATTCCCCAAATGCTGCTGACTAGAGACTTGAGTATCTTATTGCTACGTAGCATTTTGTTGCAGACTGCGAGTCACTAACTCCCGGAGTACACAATGGCGCTCAGCAGTTCACCACTGACCGGCCAATCGGTCGGTATATAAATAGTTAACAAGGTTTCTTTATCCATTTCCCAAATGCTACTGACTAGAGACTTGAGTGCCTTATTGATACGTAGCATTTTGTTGCAGACTGCGAATCACTAACTCCCGGAGTACACAATTGCGCTCAGCAGTTCACCACTGACCGGACAATCATTCAATAAGTAGTTAATAAGGTTTCTTTATCCATTCCCCAAATGCTGCTGACTAGAGTCTTAAGTACCTTATTGCTACTTCGCATTTTGTTACAGACAGCGAGTCACTAACTATTATTCCTAATTTGACGAAGTTCCGAACCTAGTCTTATAAGTTATATAAGTTGAACTCTGCACCAGTAAAATGCATCATTAGTGACTCCTAAAGAAAGCCTATAGGACGACAAAAAAGACTGAATATAAAGATCAGATTCAGTGTTCTTTTTAATAAACTCATCGAGTCCGATAACTAGAGGTAGAACTTCATGTTTTTAGGAATGATTTCTACAAAATAAACTATATAGAGTCAGATATAGGCACCAACCTTTTTACCTTGTCACAGAATTATCTTTAACAAATTTCAAAACAAAACTTTACTCTACCGGGTTAATGAAAAATCTAACCCGAATAAAATTCAATAAATTTTATATGGTTTTATTGAGACTGAAGTTAAATAAATTAAATTACAAACATTATAAGAAAAAACTTAAAGCTATGACTATATTAAACATTTATAGAAGTACATAAATTCACAAAAATATATATTTTCGGTATAAACGACTTTGAATGTAACACGTCATATTACTCTTTCCTAAATAACTGTTAAAAAAATCGTGACATAATATGTCACACACACATTATGTGTCTACAAGCAAATAAGCCATATGTTGACAATTCGTAGCTAATATATTATCTCATAACAAAAATTTTGGGTTGGTGAGATATACTTCGAGTAAAATATTAACGCCCGAACTAACCAAAGCATGACAACTTCACTAGTTTTAATTTTTCAAGAAATGCATAACACCATTTTTAGTTACGAAGAGTCAATGTGTGACCATCGTACAATATGACATTAAAATTCATAATCGAAATGAATTAAACTTAAGCATAACTATAATTAGGATTATTATACCGTTAATGGTTTATTAGATAAACCTGTATTTTAAGTTATTTTAGTAACGGCTTAACGGTAAATTAGATATTATTTTAATTTACATTGATTTTGAAATACATGAACAAAGGTTGGTAACTCGAAAACAAAAATGTTCAAATTTGTATGTTAAATACTGGAGTCCAGAGAAAAAGTTTTAGCATTTAGTCTAAATTAACCAATTAGTCTATAGTCTAGTCTATGGACTAGTCTATAGTCTAGTCTATGGACTAGTCTATAGTCTAGTCTATGGACTAGTCTATAGTCTAGTCTATGGACTAGTCTATAGTCTAGTCTATGGACTAGTCTATAGTCTAGTCTATAGTCTAGTCTATAGTCTAGTCTATGGACTAGTCTATAGTCTAGTCTATGGACTAGTCTATAGTCTTGTCTATGGAGTAGTCTATAGTCTAGTATATGGACTAGTCTATAGTCTAGTCTATAGTCCATAGTATAGTGCATAGTCTAGTCTATAGTCTAATCTATAGACTAGTTTACAGTCTAGTCTGTAGACTACACTATATGCAGGAATAAGGACTAGAATATAGAATTGTTAGTTAATTTAATGTGACTTGATTTCAACTAACATACAACAAGCAAACATTATTAAATAGACTCAAATATAGGAAAACTATGTACATATATAAATCGTACTTTTGCTGCCATAGAAAAAAATTTGCACAAATTTATATAATTTAGAACATTTAATTATAAAAGCGGTAATTAATTTCTACAAATAACTTAAATACTTATGCATATTCTAAAAAAATTCTTACCATTTATAATATTTAAAAATATTGAATCATTGTTCTTTTGTATTTATTATTCTTTAGGGAATCATGTCCGTACTTTTCCCTATTTACAACCTATATACATAAACTCAGTATGTATAAAAAATACAGTGTCTGGTGTTTTTTCCGCCATATAAAGTATCATAACTCATTGTCTGAGTCGGCATCTAATTGTTCATACAATCTATCGAGATTATCATGATGTATTAGAGTAGAAACTTCACGTTTAGGCATTGTTACGGCGACAATAGGTTTCGATGTAAATGTTACTAAATCCGTGTGACGCCGAAAAATTAAGTTATTTAATAGTGATGTGTTAGAATTTGTTTGCTTCTCTTGAGGCGTTATGTTGTCGGAAATGATGATGACATCTGAAAATGGGAAAGAGATGAATATTTTTGTACAGAAGTTAGTTAGTTAGTTAGTAGTTAGTTAGTTAGTTAGTTAGTTAGTTAGTTAGTAGTTAGTTAGTTAGTTAGTTAGTAGTTAGTTAGTTAGTTAGTTAGTTAGTTAGTTAGTTAGTTAGTTAGTTAGTAGTTAGTTAGTAGTTAGTTAGTTAGTTAGTAGTAGTTAGTTAGTTAGTAGTTAGTTAGTTAGTTAGTAGTTAGTTAGTTAGTTAGTTAGTTAGTAGTTAGTTAGTTAGTTAGTTAGTTAGTTAGTTAGTTAGTTAGTTAGTTAGTTAGTTAGTTAGTTAGTTAGTTAGTTAGTTAGTTAGTTAGTTAGTAGTAGTTAGTTAGTTAGTTAGTTAGTTGTTAGTTAGTTAGTTAGTTAGTTAGTTAGTTAGTTAGTTAGTTAGTTAGTTAGTTAGTTAGTTAGTTAGTTAGTAGTTAGTTAGTTAGTTAGTTAGTTCGTTCGTTCGTTCGTTCGTTCGTTCGTTTGTTCGTTCTCGTTCGTTCGTTCGTTCGTTCGTTCGTTCGTTTCGTTCGTTCGTTCGTTCGTTCGTTCGTTCGTTCGTTCGTTCGTTCGTTCGTTCGTTCGTTCGTTCGTTCGTTCGTTCGTTCGTTCGTTTCGTTCGTTCGTTCGTTCGTTCGTTCGTTCGTTCGTTCGTTTCGTTCGTTCGTTCGTTCGTTTTCGTTCGTTCGTTTCGTTCGTTCGTTCGTTCGTTCGTTTCGTTCGTTCGTTCGTTCGTTCGTTCGTTCGTTCGTTCGTTCGTTCTCGTTCGTTCGTTCGTTTCGTTCGTTCGTTCGTTCGTTCGTTCGTTCGTTCGTTCGTTCGTTCGTTCGTTCGTTCGTTCGTTCGTTTCGTTCGTTCGTTCGTTCGTTCGTTCGTTCGTTTGTTCGTTCGTTCGTTCGTTCGTTTCGTTCGTTCGTTCGTTCGTTTTTTGCCTCCCCGTCGGTCTCCCTTCGGTCTGCTGTTACCTTCTTCATCAGTGGGTCTGTTGGGGATCGAACTCATGACCTCCGGTCTAATAGACGAGGACACTATCCACCAACCCACCTAAAGCACACTGCCATATATTTACAAAATTCTTTCAATAACTTACCATCATCATTTTCCTTGAATGCCGTACTTCTTTTTCCAATATCATTTGTTGTTGTCGAATTTTTGTCTGACAAAGATGTCAGATTTGAAATTATTTCATTACTAAGATTGTCCAAATTATTATTCTCATTTAAATTATTTATTATGTTGATGGGTACTGCAAATATATCATCATGTTCCATTTCTTCTTTAATTTCACTGCGAAAAGGTCGATAGGAACCCAATATATTTTGTGCCGGCACTAAATCATCTTCATCGATAGGAGTATTTGATGTTATAACGGAATTTATAATATTCCTTGTTTGACTTAGTTTACTTTCTGTATTTACATCTCTTCTATTAAGTACTTCTTCATTTTCTTGTTTATTTTTAAAATTCATTTCATTTGTGCTTTTGTTTGTTGATATGTTTAGGGGTTCTTTTTTAATATTTGCGACACTAGTTGCTGTATGGGATGATAGATTTGTTCGAGTATCATAGAACTCATCATAATCACTGTCATTGCCAGGTCTTGTTAAATTAGTTTGACTATTACTTCTAAAAAACAAAGCCGTTGAAGGTACTACATCATCATTACTAGCAGGTATTGTGGGGTTTGTAGTAATGGCAGGAGTTACTGCGGCTTGTACTCTATCTCCTCTTCTAGGAACTTGTTTAATTGCAGGGTCTGAAGTTGAAGTAGTTTTATCACTAACATTAAGTTCTTCCAAAGGCTCCAGTTTAACGTTATCCGCAACAATAGAATCTTTAGTAAATTGTGTTGAATCTTTTGCAGTTAGAATATTGTTACTTTCTAGTGATTCTTGTTTAACTGTGGCTTGCGAAACATCTTCACGTGGCTTATTTCTTTTGGCTGGTGGCGGTCCTAAATTTTCCATACAATTTGAACGTATTTGAGATCTCTGGCAGTTTTGTAAAAACTCTCCTAAACTATTAGTCGATACCGTAGACATGGTATCTGTTTCATCAGCTGTTGAATGTAAAGAAACTACATCGTTATTATTATTTGATTTCGCCGAATTTTCTTTATTATTATCATTTTGATTACTGGGCGGTGCAAAAAATTCATCATATAATGCTAATTGTTCCTCCTGTTTTATATTATCACTGTTAACTTCCAAACGAGAAGATAGAGTATTATCGCGTATAGCTATATCAGCCGGATCAATATCTGGTTCAGGTTTTATATTATGGACTAGTGAATTGCTATTGTTTGCTGAAAATGTGAAAAAGATATTTAAGTATTTTCTTAAATACTTTGGCTTAATAGTTTGTGGAATACCTTGACTTGTGCTGGTTGTAGGCGACTTTAGAGGTACAGAGTTATTGGTTTCAAATGCTGAATTGTTGCCAGTTGAAAAACTTAATTTCGTTGTATTATGTAAAGTTTCAATTGTGCTTGTAATTGAAGTGGACGATGTTAGAGGTATAAAAATATTATCTTCTGCTTCTGCTTCTGAAGTTTTTTCAACAGTGGAAGTGGCTTCCGTTAAATTATCATCTGTAAAAAAGAAAATAAGTAAATGATTATAGGATTCCTCATTTAAAATAAAGTTTTTCAAAATGTTCACTTATATTGAAATATTAAAGGACTTTGTCAAAAGACGGTGTATAGTGTAATAGTATAATTTATCATATGAGCAGCTTACCAATATGTTCATCCAAATCGTGAGTAACATTTTCAGCACCATCATTATGTTCATTATGTTCATCAACATCTGCAGTACTATTTTCTTGTAAAACATCAAATGGCTCAGCATTTTCTCCTACAATTTTATCTTCTGTTTCTAGTGTTGTGTGATTTATTAGTTCATCATCATTCATACTATCGGGATGTTCAGCATCACCATCTTTATTACCCTCAGTTGTAGGATTAACACGTCTAAAACGTATAGTTAATGTACGACCACCTATTTCAGCATCCAACATACGATTGTAGGCCTCAATGGCCTTCTGTACAGTTTGATAGCGTATAAATGCATAGCGAGTATATTTCATACGTTGAGCAAAACCAATATCAATACGTGCTGCACCGGGAAAATGATTCTTTAGGGCTTTACACGCTATAGTATTTGGCAAATTGCCCACGTACAAAGTATAGGGATCAACTTCATTCAATTTAGTAGTATGTACTTTATAGGGAATTTGTTTAATTTCCACCGATAAAAAACCCGTACCAAATGGTACCTTCGATAGGTGATCGATGGTTTTCTCCACATCTGTTCCAGGTTTCAGATGTACCAAACAATAACGTGGCGAACAATTCAATTGAAAATGCACAGATTCTATGTCAGGACTATATTTTTTTACAATTTCACGACTTAGTTCAGGATCGGGAAAACGTATGACTAATATTATATCTCTCTGTAGTTTTCTTGTATTTGACTCTTCGGCCTTAAGGGCTAGTATGGCATCTTCTTCGCACCACGATTTACTAGACCGATAGCGTTCCGAAATTGCTTTTCGCTTTGTTTTCATTTTAACAATTGTTTTAGCTTCTGAAAAGGAAATAAAAATTGTGAGATCCCAAAAGATATTTTTCTTTATTCATAAATTACTGGTTATAATACTGTGTAGAAATAGCGCCAATCTCTGTCTAGAAATAGGACCAGCTACTGAACATAGAAACAAGGCCATTTAACAACCCTATTTCTGCTTTGAAATAGTACCGGTAATTAACCATATTTCCGACTAGACATTGGGCTACTTAATGGTCATATTTCTGTCTTGAAATGGGAACAGTTACCCTAAATATTTCGGTCTAGAAATAATACCAGATACTGGCCATAATTCGGTCTAGAAATAGGAAATAGGTCCAGCTATTAACTATATTTCTTAACGGAATTTGGTCCAGTTACTGCCCACATTTCAGTCTATATATAGGGCCAGGTCTGTCTAGGAATAGTCCCAGTTATTGGCCGCATTAACATGAAATATAATATAAATACATAATAAACTATTTATGTTAATTCCTTACCTGATTTCTTATCATTTGATACATTATTTTTGAAATTAGATTTTCCTAAATTTGGTGATGTTGTGGGAGACATAGTGGAAGCGGCCATTGGTGGTGGCGGTAAATGTGGCAATTTATCATCACTTGGCAATGGAGGTAATATAGGTGGTGGCTGTGGTTGAGGCAGTGGCGGCTGTTGCTGATGTTGTGGCAATTTTGGCGGTGGTGTAGACGTTATTGTTTGCCACATAAAGGGAGTAATAGCATCAGTCACACCATATGTTGAAGCGGAATCTGTCGGAGCTATGTCGTTATTATAACTGGTGGGATAATAACTATTGTAACCAAATCCATATAAATTAGAATTATCCACCATAGTAGGATTGTGCTGCTGCTGCTGTTGGCTATTTTGGGCCGCCAACGAGGTAGACGCCATTGGTGGCGGTTGAGTTGGTGGCAAGTTTAAAACATTTTGTTTATTCACAGAAAATGAAGAGGAGGAGGGAGATGAAATCGCTGATGCATTAGTCTTATGTAAATAAGATGATGATGGCTGACTATTCTTTTGTTGATTATAATTTGGTCGTTTCGGTGAAATGCCATAAAAATTTCTGGGGCCTTTATCATAAGAACTACATTGATAGGAATCTGTTGTAACATTTCTATTTGGCGAATATTTATATCCGGTTTGATTTTGATGTTTGTACCTGGGCGAAATCTTAGCGCCACTATTATTTACTCCATATCGTGGACGTTTATTAAAACGCATTGGAGAGTCCCCTACAGGGGCTCTGGAGAAATTACCATTATTATTGTATTTATTCATTTTATACACTAAATACCAAACATTTTATATTATTTGAATTTAAAAACTTTTGTTTTTGTAGTTTTGTGATTATTTATCCATTTTGATAAATGTTTATTTATAAAAAGTTATTTATAAAAATTTTCTTCGTCTGGCACTGGCTTGATTTTCTTTTGTAGTTTAAAAATGTTGCCAATACTTGTATTTCTAAAAGCGCTAAAACTGAAGGGTTTTTTTTTAAATAATACAATTATTTACAATTTTAAACAAAATTTTGTATATCTTAGAGAAACGATAATTTGACAATGAATAATAAATGTTTTCTAGGATTTATACAAATTTCGTTAAAAATTAATAAAGAAAACTCATTTATTTAGTTACAGATTAAACGTTATTTAATTTCCGCTGGTTTGTTTACACTGTTTTTCGTAGATCTGGCAGCTTTTATTCAAGCAGCTGTTTTGTCCAAAAAAAAATGTAAACAAATAAACATAACCTCTCTCTCTCGCACTCACTACTCACATAATTTCGCATAATAATGGCTTTATTATTAAATTTAAGAAATTCGCTGCCAAAGATATTAAAAATCACAAATACCATCAGCTTAAGTGAAAGGAATATAAGGTAATATTTCCCAAATAAAATTAGACGAAAACCATAAATACAAAACCTTATATTTTAGCACAACGCCTTCATTGTTATGGTTGAATCAAAAACTAGCTCGATCGAGCAAAGAAAAAGAGAAACGTTATCTGGAAAAGGATAGAGTACCACAAAATTATCAATTAATCTATCGAGCACCTATGGAATCATATGTAGCCTGGTCTATGCATGTCTCCACCATAACAGCTTCTTTAATCGGTACTGCTGCCATTTATCAATATGCCAGTAACCAACCAATACTGGAGCCGCTCGATACTACTCTGGCAATGAGCAGTGAAGATATCTATTATTTTGCACTTGGTTTTATGGCTATAAATGCTGTTATGCGTTTTGTGGTGTCCATGTTTCCCTTGAGAATATATAAGGATCAAGAAAAGTAAGTCATTTTGAGGAAGGAAACAAAATTTTGTAAATTTCTTTTAAATATCCATATTTTGATTTTAGATATTTGGCCATTTATCATTCTCAACTACCCATGAATATAACACAGCATCAATTTAAAAAGGGACAAGTAAAAGCAGTTTATTACACTTTCAGCCCTTGGAATAATGCAACTTATAAATTGGGCAACAAGACATCATTGTTATTGGAGGATTATTTTAAAACCCCTTCAGAATTTCATCAAATGAGCGAAAATGAAGAAAAATTTAAACAAAACTAAGATAAGGTCATATGATTATATTGGATAAATAATATTTTATACTGAGACTGTCAAACTCTATATATAAAAATGTTTTAGCAGAACTAATGCTGTCAAATCCATGTATAAAAAGTAGAATAAATATATCACTGATATCATCTACAATAAATTCGTCTTAAGTTAAAGTATTAATTATTTTGTACACCCTGTGGTGATATAGTTTTAATTTAACACTAGATGGCGCTGTTAACGCTAAGTGTCATGCTCCACGTGCTGTCAGAACTGTCAAACAAATTATTGTTTTCATTCAATTTTTTATAGAAAAATATCACAGCACTTTTAAATTTCGATTAATTTTTGTTTTTAAAATTCTATATAAAAAAGTTCCAATATGGAATTACAAGAAACCACAGAAGAAACACAAGAGAGTCAACAGACTTCTGCAGATAAGGCTCCCAAAAGGCGGAATCCCTTTAGAGTTCAACAGCAGAAAGAAGAAAAAGAACGTCGACAGAAAAAGCGTGCTCGTCTTATTGTCCGCAATATTAGTTATAAATCAACAGAGGAACTTCTACGCAAACACTTTGAACAATGGGGTAAATTGGAAGATGTGAATCTGTTAAAACGTGCCGATGGCAAGCTGGTGGGCTGTGCTTTTGTACAATACGAAACCATTAATCAGGCCACAAAAGCTATTTTAAAAGGTAATGGTAAAGAATTTTTGGGCCGTAGTATATTTATCGATTGGGCCTTGGGTAAAAATGAATATGTGTCCAAAAAGGGATTAAAAGAAGAACCGGAAGAAAAGAAACCCAAATTGGAAGTGAAAGATGAAGACGAAATAACGTCAGAGAAGGATAGTAAAAATGATGAAGAGGGTGACCATAAAGTAGATGATGAGGATAGTGATGATGAAAATAATAGTGGAGAAAGCTGTAGTGAGGCTGAAGAAGAGGTAAGATGAGACATTTAAAGTAAGCTTAAAAACTTTATATTGATGATGATTTAGAATAGAAAACTAGATTTTTGTTTTAATGAAAAATATTTTATTTTTTAGGATGATGAGGATGACGATGACGAAGAAGATGATGACGACGATGAAGATGATGACGACGAAGAAGATGATGAAGACAAAAAGGATGTTAAATCTAAATTAGACATCAACAATGTAAAGAAAGAAAAGCATATTTCCAACGATGTTCAGGAAGGTTGTACGATCTTTATCAAGAATGTACCCTTTGACGCAGAAGATACAGACTTACGTAAAGTTTGTCGTAAATTTGGCCCGGTATACTATAGCATAATAAATCGTGATCATATATCGGGACATTCAAAGGGCACTGCATTTGTAAAATTCAAGACAAAAGAATCTGCTGATTTGTGTTTACAAGCAGCTAGCGAATTTGTTTTAATGGATCAAGTTCTAGAACCTTATCCGGCTCTTAGTAAAGAGGAAGTGCGTCAACAACAAGCTGAAAAGGATAAAAAGAATGATGGCAAAGACTCGCGTAATTTGTATTTGGCCAGAGAAGGTCTTATTATGGCAAATTCAAAAGCAGCCGAAGGTGTTTCTGCCTCAGATATGAATAAAAGGCATAAATTGGAACAAATCAAAACACAAGTTTTGAAAAATTTAAATCGTTTTGTTTCACGCAATCGTTTGTCCATACACAATTTGCCACTCAATTATGACAATGACAATCTAAAAGACATGGTAGTGGCCTATACAGGTTTTAAGCCTCACGAGTGCCGTGTAATGCGTGAAAATAGAATAACACCCGAACATCCCAAAGGCAAGTCGAAAGGTTTTGGTTTCATGTCTTTCAATAGTCATCAAGAGGCCTTGATAGCTTTGAGAAAACTAAATAATAACCCCAAAATATTTGGCACCCAACATGTAAGTTTCTTTTTACATTTTCGTATAAAACTTCATTATTTTATATTATTGTTTTACTTTTACAGCGTCCCATAGTTGCCTTTAGTATTGAAGATCGTGCTGTGCATAAGGTTAAAGAGAAACGCGAGGAGAAATCTAAACTGAATAATCCCACCTTTAAGGAAAAACTTGAAAAACGCAAAGCTTTGAAACAACAAAAACGTGAAGGCAAATTCCCACCAAAACCACAACACCGAGGACCACAATCCGACGACAAAGAAAAACTCAAGAAACACATTAAGAAACTTGAAGAATCTAGAGCGGCTAAAAATAAACCAAACAATAAACCCTCTACCCATATAGAAGACAATTATGTGGGCACAGAAGCTAAACCTGGCACTGTCTTGCGCATGCGTTCCTTTAAGAAAATCAAAGAACAATCGCAAGATCATATGAAACGTGTTAATAGCGAAAAGAAAAAGAGGAAACAACAAAAAATCAAACAAACTCATTTGGCTGAGCGTAAAGCTGAAATAAGACCAAAACAGGGTCGCAAAGTGGAAAAGGATGAACTAATGCCTCTGGTAAATAAATATAAACAAATGTTGGATAAACGTGCCAATGAGGGTGGTACTGGTCCCATCAATCCGGGCAAAAAACCAAAACGCACTAAATGGTATCAAGAATAGTAGTTTGATATTAAGATTTTTATTTTATTTAATATGTTAATTGTTTTGTAAATACAAATGAAATTATAAAGAAAATATAATAAATAATAATCTATATACATAAAACAAATCTTTTCAGTACAAGTTTTAATAGAAAATATATGGATATTACTGCAAGAATAAAGGACTAAAGAAAGAATAAACTTTTAATATGAAATTGAAAACTTTTGTATTCAACAGAATTCCATCATAATGGTAAATGTACTTATTTTTGTATTTATTTTGCTCCTTCGGAAAAGTAAAACGACAACTTTTTTCGCAATGAAACCACTTCTATTTATACACCACTTTAGTGGGGAGGGTATATTGGGTTTGTGCTGATGTTTGTAACATACAAAAATATTCGTCCTATACCCACCTTAAAGTATACCAATCGGCTTAGAATCGTTTTCTGAGTCGATTAAGCTATGTCCGTCTGTCCGTCCGTCCGTCTGGCTGGCTGGCTGGCTGTCCATGTAAACCTTGTGCGCAAGGTACAGGTCGCAATTTTCAAGATAATTAGATGAAATTTGGCACGCACGTTTTATTTGACCTAAGGACGAAGCCTATTGAAAATGGTTAAAATCGGTCCATTATTTCACCTAGCCCCCATAGAACAGAACCCCCCCGAAAAGGGCTTCTGAGCTCATAATTATGTTAAATATACAGATATATCGATAAAATACGGCACAGCTAAGTTTTATAGAAGTCTTGATGACCCTGCCAAATTTCATAAAGATCGGGCCACATTTGACCCTAGCTCCCATACAAAGTCCCCTTCAGAAAATTACTTGAATGTCCCAAATTAGCTTATAAACACAAATATCGCGATGAAATTCAGCACAATAAAATATTATGTCAATATAAATATATTCACAAAATTTTATCGGGCTTGGTCCATATTTGCCCCTAGCCCCCATATAAAGCCTCTTTCAGAAAATTAGTTTTTCATCCATTAAATTGCTTAAATGTATCGGAACAAGGGAATATTGAAGATAAATGCTTTATTATGAAAAATAAATCACATTTAATATTCTTAACTGGTGTAGGGTATCATATGGTCGGTCACGCCCGACTATACTTTCTTACTTGTTTTAAATTCTATACCGTTATGAGAAGGGGATAAACAGAGTTTATTATTGCGTTTGTAATTTTCACAATATAATTTACCGATTCTATAAAGTTTATGTATAAATTCTGAATCCGATTAAGCTATGTCTATTTTCTGTCTGTCTGTACGCATGTTAATAGGTTTCTAGAAACAAGAAGAGAAGTAGAAACAAGAAGAGAAAGATAAAATAAATGGTTCAGCTTCGGATCAGGATATAATTGTGACAGAAGATAGGAATCCTCACTGTAGCCTCCACCCAAAAGACTATTCTATCGTCCAGGTTATAACTATTCTATAGACTACAATATATACTATTCTATAGTCCCGACTATAGACTATTCTATAGCCGAGACTATAGACTATTCTATAGTCCAGACTATAGACTATTCTATAGTCCAGACTATAGACTATTCTATAGTCCAGACTATAGACTATTCTATAGTCCAGACTATAGACTATTCTATAGTCCAGACTATAGACTATTCTATAGTCCAGACTATAGACTATTCTATAGTCCAGACTATAGACTATTCTATAGTCCAGACTACAGACTATTCTATAGTCCAGACTATAGACTATTCTATAGTCCAGACTATAGACTATTCTATAGTACAGACTATAGACTATTCTATAGTCCAGACTATAGACTATTCTATAGTCCAGACTATAGACTATTCTATAGTCCAGACTATAGACTATTCTATAGTCCAGACTATAGACTATTCTATAGTCCAGACTATAGACTATTCTATAGTCCAGACTATAGACTATTCTATAGTCCAGACTATAGACTATTCTATAGTCCAGACTATAGACTATTCTATAGTCCAGACTATGGACTATTCTATAGTCCAGACTATAGACTATTTTATAGTCCAGACTATAGACTATTCTTTAGACCAGAATATAGACTATTTTATAGTCCAGATTATAGACTATCTATAGTCCAGACTACAGACTATTCTATAGTCCAGACTTATATGTGTATACTATTCTATAGTAAATCGAAATTGTATACATATGTATGTAACTGTCCTAAATATTTTCCCGTAAATATGACATTTAAGATCTATCTCGAAAAGTGTTTGATTTTTGCAAATTGTAATTAGATTTAAAATATTTAGTAGGATATTAAAGATCATATCAGGATTTTCCCGCATTTAAAACATTAATCCACATAGTTTAAATGCTCATTCTAAATCATTGGAATGTTCTTTTTTTATGTTTATTACAAAAATATAGTTCTGTTCGAAAAATTTGTCAACCATATGCATTTTATTAGCATGTGTGTGCAATTTTACCTGTAATTTCCCGAGAAATATAGAAAGGATTTTCAAAATAACTTTTAATGCAGCCGTTAGAAAAGAAATTTTGTTACCTAAAAGCGCATGTTAATTTGAAGAAATTCCCAATAAATCATAAAACACTTAAACGGCATTTAGGGAAATAGACACAATTAGTATGTGTACCTAAATTTTGTTTGCAAAGATTTTGAAGTATAAAAGACTAAAGAATTTCGAAATTATCATACACAACCAAAACGTGCTTAGCACAGTAAACAGCTAAAAATTTGCTCAAGTTGCAATTAAATTAAATAATTTTTTTATTTTTCCTTTTAAAAATGGCCCCACAAGACAAAGTTGAATTTGTTATTTTAAAATTAACCTTTTTGCCCTTTATGTAAGTAAACATTTTTTTATTTCAATATTTGTGAACTAGTTAATGAATAATAAATTATTTTTACAGTCATCCTCAATATCCTAGAATTACATTGACTCGCAAGAAGCATTCACCTAGTGGCTCCATGACTCAAGTTCGTGATTGGGTAAGTTTTATTAAGAGTCTTCAATATACATTTTTACTTAAAAACATTTCGTTCTTTATTTTTAGTTTGATCGCATAATGTCTAGAGAGAAATCAAAAATACCCTCTAATATAAGTGTGCGCTACTGTGAATGGAACATAACTTCGGGCAATGCTAATTTATTTACCATTAACGGTTACCGTTTCGATAAGATTCTTTTAATATTGGGTGAAGAAGCCATACATTGGGTATACTATCAGAATATGCCCCTGCATAGACGCATTGAAGGCTGCGGTCGTTTGTCGGTAAACTATTGCGGCTGCTGCTTAAATAATCAATATTTGAAAATTATGGAAACAGTTAAGGGCTGCCTAATGAAACAGGGCGGCCGTAATTAATTCTTAATGACTTCTAAAATCTTTAAAAATGAACGTATAACGTAGTCTGTAAGTTAGTGTGATAAAATATATACATTTTTGTAATACTTTTCAATTAATTACATAAATAAAGTAAGCAATCATATATGATTAAAAAAAATAGTTTTTGTTTCAATTCATTTACTAAATACCTTCTTTTACTTTCAACTCTTTTTTTACTGTGTAATACATCAACAAAATTTTATTACTCGAGATGCTGTTGTTGTTTCTTTTCTAGTGGTTATTTTTTAATTAAAGTTTGTTTAACAAAATTATTTAATTTAAACATATAGCAGATATTGGTTTAGTAATATATTTTGAATTTATTCTAACCAATGGAAACGAGAACCGTACTTTGCTGGTGGTTTGGGATAATCATCGGGCAAACCAGGAGTAGCATCTGGATAGACTTTCTTTTCGGGTTTAGGAGGAGCTGGACGAGCAGTGTTATGAATCTAAAAAGGAAATAAATGTAAAATAGTTGTAAATGATTGAAAAGATGGTATCTTATATATGTATCTTATATATGTATCTTTATTCAGTTCCAGTTCAGTTCTAGTTCAGTTCTAGTTCAGTTCTAGTTCAGTTCTGGTTCAGTTCTAGTTCAGTTCTAGTTCAGTTCTAGTTCAGTTCTAGTTCAGTTCTAGTTCAGTTCTAGTTCAGTTCTAGTTCTGTTCTAGTTCAGTTCTAGTTCAGTTCTAGTTCAGTTCTAGTTCAGTTCTAGTTCAGTTCTAGTTCAGTTCTAGTTCAGTTCTAGTTCAGTTCTAGTTCAGTTCTAGTTCAGTTCTAGTTCAGTTCTAGTTCAGTTCTAGTTCAGTTCTAGTTCAGTTCTAGTTCAGTTCTAAGTCAGTTCTAAGTCAGTTCTAATTCAGTTCTAGTTCAGTTCTAGTTCAGTTCTAGTTCAGTTCTAGTTCAGTTCTAGTTCAGTTCTAGTTCAGTTCAGTTCAGTTCTAGTTCAGTTCTAGTTCAGTTCTAGTTCAGTTCTAGTTTTTTTTTTTTTTTTTTTTTTTTTTTTTTTTTTTTTTTTTTTTTGTAAAAGCTCAAGGGTTATTTTATTTAATGAAATATTTAAGAATAAATTGTTTAATTATTAACACGAGTAATATGCAGGAAGCGATAAACAAGGTAAAAGATAAATTAATAGAAAAATATTTAGTTTAAATGGAAGAAGAAATAGAACAGATCCAGAACTGAACTAGAGCAGAACTAGAACTGAACTTGAACTGAACTGAAACTAGAACTGAACTAGAACCTGAACTAGAACAGAACTAGAACAGAACTAGAACAGAACTAGAACAGAACTAGAACAGACTAACAGAACTAGAACAGAACTAGAACAGAACTAGAACAGAAAGGAACTAGAACAGAACTAGAACAGAACTAGAACAGAACTAGAACAGAACTAGAACAGAACAGAACTAGAACAGAACTAGAACAGAACTAGAACAGAACTAGAACAGAACTAGAACAGAACAGAACTAGAACAGAACAGAACTAGAACAGAACTAGAACAGAACTAGAACAGAACAGAACTAGAACAGAACTAGAACAGAACTAGAACAGAACTAGAACAGAACTAGAACAGAACTTGAACAGAACTAGAACAGAACTAGAACAGAACAGAACAGAACTAGAACAGAACTAGAACAGAACTAGAACAGAACAGAACTAGAACAGAACTAGAACAGAACTAGAACAGAACTAGAACAGAACTAGAACAGAACAGAACTAGAACAGAACTAGAACAGAACTAGAACAGAACTAGAACAGAACTTGAACAGAACTAGAACAGAACTAGAACAGAACTAGAACAGAACTTGAACTGAACTAGAACTGAACTAGAACTGAACTAGAACAGAACTAGAACAGAACTAGGAATAGAACTAGGACAGAACTAGAACAGATACTAGAAAGACTAGAACAGAACTAGAACAGAACTAGACAGAACTAGAACAGAACTAGACAGAACTAGAACAGAACTAGAACAGAACTAGAACAGAACTAGAACAGAAACTAGAAACAGAACTAGAACAGAACTAGAACAGAACTAGAACAGAACTAGAACAGAACTAGAACAGAACTAGAAACAGAACTAGAACAGAACTAGAACAGAACTAGAACAGAACTAGAACAGAACTAGAACAGAACTAGAACAGAACTAGAAACAGAACTAGAACAGAACTAGAACAGAAACTAGAACAGAACTAGAACAGAACTAGAACAGAACTAGAACAGAACTAGAACGAACTAGAACAGAACTAGAACAGAACTAGAACAGAACTAGAACAGAACTAGAACAGAACTAGAACAGAACTAGAACAGAACTAGAACAGAACTAGAACAGAACTAGAATCAGAACTAGAACAGAACTAGAAACAGAACTAGAACAGAACTAGAACAGAACTAGAACAGAACTAGAACAGAACTAGAACAGAACTAGAACAGAACTAGAACAGAACTAGAACAGAACTAGAACAGAACTAGAACAGAACTAGAACAGAACTAGAACAGAACTAGAACAGAACTAGAACAGAACTAGAACAGAACTAGAACAGAACTAGAACAGAACTAGAACAGAACTAGAACAGAACTAGAACAGAACTAGAACAGAACTAGAACAGAACTAGAACAGAACTAGAACAGAACTAGAACTAGAGCAGAACTAGAACTAGAACAGAACTAGAAATGAACTAGAACAGAACAGTTCTAGACAGAACTAGAACAAAACTAGAACAGAACTAGAACAGAACTAGAACAGAACTAGAACAGAACTAGAACAGAACTAGAACAGAACTAGAACAGAACTAGAACAGAACTAGAACAGAACTTTAACAGAACTTGAACAGAACTAGAACAGAACTAGAACAGAACTAGAACTGAACTAGAACTGAACTAGAACTTTTTTTTTTTTTTTTTTATTTATTTAACATTAAGATATAAATTCATATTACATTAATTTAAAAAGATTACATTGATTTAAATGAAAATTTATAATATTATTAATTGAGGACCCACGAAGCCATTGTTGGCTTTTCTGTAGGTCAAAAATTTATATATATATATATATAATTAGTATTTAGAACTTATTCTTGTTGCGAACTTAAGTAAAATTTTTTAATCTCATTCTTTTTCTTATACTTATATTGTATGTTTAACAAATTGGTTGGCAGCTTATTTATAATATTAGGTAATTGTACATCTAATTTCGCCTTAAGTTCTAGTTCAGTTCTAGTTCAGTTCTAGTTCAGTTCTAGTTCAGTTCTAGTTCAGTTCTAGTTCAGTTCTAGTTCAGTTCTAGTTCAGTTCTAGTTCAGTTCTAGTTCAGTTCTAGTTCAGTTCTAGTTCAGTTCTAGTTCAGTTCTAGTTCAGTTCTAGTTCAGTTCTAGTTCAGTTCTAGTTCAGTTCTGGTTCAGTTCTAGTTCAGTTCTAGTTCAGTTCTAGTTCAGTTCTAGTTCAGTTCTAGTTCAGTTCTAGTTCTAGTTCTAGTTCTAGTTCTGTTCTAGTTCTGTTCTAGTTCTGTTCTAGTTCTGTTCTAGTTCTGTTCTAGTTCTGTTCTAGTTCTGTTCTAGTTCTGTTCTAGTTCTGTTCTAGTTCTGTTCTAGTTCTGTTCTAGTTCTGTTCTAGTTCTGTTCTAGTTCTGTTCTAGTTCTGTTCTAGTTCTGTTCTAGTTCTGTTCTAGTTCTGTTCTAGTTCTGTCTAGTTCTGTTCTAGTTCTGTTCTAGTTCTGTCTAGTTCTGTTCTAGTTCTGTTCTAGTTCTGTTCTAGTTCTGTTCTAGTTCTGTTCTAGTTCTGTTCTAGTTCTGTTCTAGTTCATGTTCTAGTTCTAGTTCTAGTTCATGTTCTAGTTCATGTTCTAGTTCAGTTCTAGTTCAGTTCTAGTTCAGTTCTAGTTCAGTTCTAGTTCAGTTCTAGTTCAGTTCTAGTTCAGTTCTAGTTCAGTTCTAGTTCAGTTCTAGTTCAGTTCTAGTTCAGTCTAGTTCAGTTCTAGTTCAGTTCTAGTTCAGTTCTAGTTCAGTTCTAGTTCAGTTCTAGTTCAGTTCTAGTTCAGTTCTAGTTCTAGTTCAGTTCTAGTTCAGTTCTAGTTCAGTTCTAGTTCAGTTCTAGTTCAGTTCTAGTTCAGTTCTAGTTCAGTTCTAGTTCAAGTTCAGTTCTAGTTCAGTTCTAGTTCAGTTCTCAGTTGATGCTGAACCTAATCTTATCAATATCGATCAAAAACTACCGACAAAAAACTCACCTTAGCTCTAGAGAAATAACCGTAATCTGGACGATCAATGTCCAAAGTATCCTTAACACACTTATCAAACACACCTTGTGTCTTGCGGCAGCTATAAATTAAAATATAACAGTTTTTAAATATAAGGGGTTGATTTAAAATACCAACGGAACTTACTGGCTAAAAGACATAGTGCCACTTGATTTATCTAAGCAAGTAGCATATTGCATGAATTCTTCATGGCAGCTTTTCTTAACTTTGCGGAAAAAGTCCATGGCACAGCTGGTCACAGCCTTACCCTCATTCAAACAGGCTCTGGGATCATCTAATTCTTGGCGACATAACATGAATTCCTGTTCGAAAAAAAAAAACATAAACAAACTTTTTATATGAAAAGCTGTCAAACCATATTGAGGTTAGGTCTTTACGAGACACCAAAAATTATATAACTTGGTTTTAAGGCTAAAATCCTTATAAATTCCAAAATAATTTCTTGTTTAAGACTAAAAACATAATTATATAATTAGTATGTATCGAAAAATACTTACATTATTCTGAAATTCGCAAGCTTTGCCCAAATGAAAGGCTCCGGCACGTAAAGCTGCGGTAGACAAATTCAATTCTTGAACCGTCAATTCCTCCTCTGTGGGCAGCTTTGTATCGTTGGTGACCACCATGTTTGGGCTTTACACAAGCTTTTTATAACTATTGGAATGGAAAATAAACTAAATATTAGAGATTTAAATGTAAATTAACAGAATTTTCTTGA